CGCACTTTGCCGACTACGTGGGGCGGCTGGGGGTGAGCAATGACACCCACGTGGTGGTGTACGACGGGGACGACCTGGGCACCTTCTACGCCCCCCGCGCCTGGTGGATGTTCCGCGCCTTCGGGCACAAGGAGGTGTCTGTGCTGAACGGCGGCTTCAAGAACTGGGTGAAGGAGGGACACCCCATCACAGCGGAGGTCAGCCAGCCCACCCCGGCCGTCTTTAAGGCCAGGCTGAACACGGCCCTGGTGAAGAGTTTTGAGGAGATGATACAGAATGTGTCGTCCCTGCAGTTCCAGGTGGTGGATTCCCGCCCTGAGGCCCGGTTCCGGGGGATCGAGCTAGACCAAGGTAATGGAGGTGGGACTGGCACCTGCCCCAGAGCAGGATGAGTGTCGACGCTAGCCTGGGCGTAACAGCTCCTGGCAGCCAGCAAACAGGATTTCCTAATTCACAGGTGTGCCTCAGCCTGACTGGTTTACCTTAAGGGATCCGCAGTTGAGCTCTCAGATTCCAGTGGCATCGCAGAATGCTTTTATTGCAGTTGCCTATAAAGCTGCAGAAGGAAATAGCGGAAAAGGGCTGCAGTCAGTTGGTTCCAAGATCCCCCAGTCTCACACCCTGCAGAAGTTTATCGGACAGAATGCGAGCATGGGAGGTGAGAGCTCCCAGGGGTTTGTTCAGGGTCCTATCTAACACCAGCAGACACACACAAACTATCAGTATTCACACAGGCACCTCTCACCATAATGAGTGCACCAGCAGAAGCCAAGGTTTTAGGTAATACAGTAACCCAAGGGACATTGTCCTTGTCGCTCTGGTCCACAGCAAACAGAGAATTTGCTTGAGCTGATCTTTGCTCTTTTGCTGAAGTGAGAAAAGCCCAAAACCTTTACCGAATGTATGGGGTGTCAGCCTCTTCCTTTTTAATGCCCCAAGTTACAGGAACAAAAATTGATTTTGTTACCTGGGTCAAACTGGACACACAAGCACCAGGAGTGGGAGAAGCCCTGTGCACTGGGGACAGCTGGTACAGCAGTGTGCCTGGAATGAAATTTAAGTTGGTTGTTAAAGGAGCCCCTTCCTGGGTAATTTGAGCCCTGGTATATCCCAGAATAACCTCTCCTCTGAAAGGGTGCCAAAAAACCTTCCCTGACGTGACAATTCAGGAGGCGCTCTGGCAGTCACACTCCCACCACCAGAGACTTCCACTGCTGGGACTGAGGCCCTTTCACAGCAGTGGCCCCAGTGAGCCCATGGGTGCCCTGCTTGACTCCCTGCACACTCCACTCAACATAATAAGACCAGGTTTTCTTACCGGCTCAACTCTGGGTCTCCCTTAGGAGAGTCTCAGAAGTCTTGTTCCATACTGCAATTTATTCACGGTGCAGTAACACAGAAACAGCTTGAGCTGATGCCTCCGAGGAGAGACCTCCAAACAAAGGAAGCACTGAGCTTTTATACCTTCACAGTCTAAGCGTGACAAAGTCTTGGCTCTTCTTCCCGAGTCCTCAGCTCCTGCTGTGTCTCTGGTCACTTGGCTGGCTCGCAGCTCCCTGTGTCCTTTGTTGTGCAAAGGTTGGTGCCAGTTCATGGCCTCTTGCCTGGTGCTTCCGCCACCCAGAGCTCAGTCTGCAGCTCTCACTGCAGCTGGACATCGAGCTCCCTGCACTAAATGTGTTCCTCAACAAAGGAATCACAGAAAGGGTTTTTTAAAGAAACACAGAGTTTCTAAAACAAAGCACAGAAAGGCTCAGCAGCAGCTGTTGGGTCTGAGCAGAGCTCCATACTGCTGTGCTGCTGTGCAGTGGTCTTCTGCAGTCCCCAGGCCGTGCTGTGTTGCTGCCCTGCAGATGTTGGCATTCTGTTGTGGCTGCTGTACAGCCAGTTAGTGTGGCAGCATGTCTTGGAATAAATTCCCATGTCCAGAGCTCTGGAGCATTTGGCTGTAAATGACTCTGTACATGTGTTTTGCCTCAGTGTCTACAGTGAGCTCCCATAACCACGCTTGACCTGTGCAAGGCAGTGTGGAAGGTGAGAAAGGTAATGGGTGTGACAGGGGAGACTGTTGCAGGGAGAAAGGGGGAGTTAAGCTTATCACTCGCTCAATTTCTTTGCTTGCTGCAGCCCTTCAAAGTGAAGGTTGAATTTTAACCTCAAGATGTGACTAAAATGCTCCTTGCTTGGAGCTAGTGAATTTTATATCCTTTCCCAAAGTGGGGGTTGTCACCAGGTGACAAATACTGCAGCCCCTGACAGCATCTTCAGAACAGATTTTTTTTCCTTTGAAATGAGTCAGCATGGAACAGTTTATTTGTGGTGGTCCAGTTTTGCTTCCCACAGCAGATCCAGCAGGATAAGCACTCCAGCTGCAGCTGCTCGTTCCACAGGAGCTTGACAGCCTTCTGAACCAGGCTAGCCAGTAGCTGTGCCAGCAGTGGGTAAAAGACAGTGCTTACACCTAAAAGAGCAATTTGAAATCAATGCTGTTTAATTGCAGGGGTCATCCAATCAGGGAGGACGCAATTTAGGGAAGAAGAATGGTCTTGAGGTTAAGGAACTTGCTGCCTTCTCAGGTGATTTCAGTTTAATTATTGCCTCAGCTCTTGACTTCCTAATTAAGTCAATTAATCTCTCCAGTTCCATGAACTCCATCTCTGGAAGAGGCTAATTGCAGCTGACTCTTTTGCCTCTTTGTTTTTTTTCAGTTCTTTGTGGTAAGAATTAATTGTCCCTCTTTCATTTTTATGCAGCAGATACCTTGCTGTGATTCAGACCTCTGTAACAGTTAAGATAAGCCATAGTACATGGCTAATTTTTAGTTGCTGGGAGGGGTTTACCCAAGTTGGCATAGCAGAGAAAAATGGACAACATTTCTAGAAGCCAGGTCTCATAGGTCTTAAATGTGGGTATTGCTTTGGATGAAAAAGCTTGGAGGTTTATGCATGGTGTGCAGCATAAGCTCGTCAGATGCACAGCCCTGACCTATGCACTGAGTAGTTAAAGGTGTCTCTGCACTGTGCTGTGTTTCTGGAGGAACTAGCAATCCAGGGGCAGGTGGTAAAAATAATTACATGATGATTACCAGTGGTGACCCTCTCTGAATATTGGGCACTGAAAACTGGTGAACAAGAATTAGAACTAAACAAATGCATACAGAAAAGTCGTGGATTTCTGAATTCTTTTGCAGACATCTTAGAAAAGAGGGGAAAGTTGTCAAGCAAGAAATCTGCCATCTAAAAAAAGAAAACAAATCCAAATAATTTCGTTAAGCTTCCAAGTATTTTTCTTCTCATTCTCAGCCCTTGGGTAGTCCTTGTCTCCCTTCTGCATACAGAACTCCTCAGATTTTGCCCTTTTCCCAGCTCTCGGTCCTGCTTGTCCCAAACATAAAGCTTTTGCTCAGCTTGAATGTTCAGTGGAAGTGAGAATGAAATGTATCTTTTTCTTACCTCTCCTCTCAGAGAGGTCTTCAGCTGGAAGTGGAATGGCTTTGCTTTGTCCACGTAGTAATACTCAAGGCAAAACAGTGGAGAGTGAGAGACTTACCAAAGTCTGTTTCAACCCACAGAAACCTACAATCCAATTCAAGTGATGAGGTTGGAAAGCATCAGCTGCCAGAATTAGCACCATGGTGCTGCTGTTCCTTAGAGATGACCCTTCTGGCTGTATACACACAATTTTTTGACGTTGATGGCAAAGGCCTGTTGATCTGACTGCAAGGACTAGCAGGCTGCTGGCCAGGACCAAGCTTTAAGTGTTCCTTACCACGTGTTCACGGTAGGTTAGACAGGATCGGTAATTGTCCCTTCCAGACCACACCATTTGAATGGAAGAGAGATAAACAAGGAGAGAACAGAGAAGGCATTTGGAAAAGAACAGCTGTCTGCAGCTAGCCAACTCCAAAACCCTGGGGAGTTAAATACGGACAGAGCACGTCTTTTATCTTTTTGACATTAAGCAATTCCATCTGGAGCTTTCATCGCAAAGGGAAGGCTAGAGAAGAGGGGCTGTAGTCTTAGTTAGATAAATAGCCAACAAAAAAATATGTAAGCAGGGAATCAAAGACGTGGAAAAGGGGATTAAGTAGTGAAGAAGATAACATATTACAGGTTACAAATTGTGAGGAAGGATTGCCAGACACCAAGCTGAGTGAGACTTGGCAAAAGGAATTAAAGCAAATAACAAAAACTTCTGGAGCACAGTAAGCAGAAAGAGAACAAGGAGAGAAAGAATAAATAAGGTTGCTATGCAGTTAGCAGGGGTTCCAGGTGAAAGATTATTTGGGTATAGTCTGAGAATTATGCTGAGTCTTGAGTCTGTGCTACCATGTTTTCTTCTCTCCTAAGGATAAGTCTGCAGAGCAGGGGGATGGGTAATAAGAGTAGGGGGATAGAACTTTCTAAAGAACTCTTTCTAAAGAGGAGGTGTAACCAAAGATATCCCTGTGCTCAGACCTGTGAGGCAGATGACTTCTATCCCAAATACGTGGCAAAAATCAGTCACGTGGCATTGCAACGCCATGAGGCAAGAATTAGATAAATTTAATTGAAGCATGGTTCTGTAGGACAGAAACACTAGCAAAGTTAGTATGTAGGATAGGAGGTACAGCATAACCCAGGCAGCTGTCGGTCTGTTATCATAACATGGATAGACCAGAAGGCTTTCAGAAACTCTGCAAGAAAAATTATTTTAAGTGAAGGCAAAATTGAGTAAAATACCTTGGTAAACTTGCGCTGAGGGAAGGGCTTTATTGCCTTGCCAACAGAACTGATTGGCCAGATAAGAGAAATGGAAACATGCGTGTCTGGAAGTTATGTCTGATCTTTTCTTCCAGCCATTGGAAGCAACTACAAGGTAGAGTTGTTCCCTTTGGACTTCATTAGTACTTTGTACATAACATTAGAGGGGCACTTATTACTTCAATAAGAGGAGAAGGCAAATAGCACAAGTACTGTTAGACTTTTAAAAAATTTTGCCAGAAAAGGAGATGAGGGAGATAAGAATAGCTTTGCTGAAAGGACATTTGTGGGGCTGGAAGTTGCCAGTATGGTCCTATCATTATGCTTCTATGTTTTTATTTCATATTTTTCTGAATCATCAAGGCACTAAAAATAGGGAGTTGCTACTGAAATGTGCTTCTGGCACAGCCTTGGGAAGGTCTAAATGGTCATAAGGGGAGTATTGTGTGAGGTGCCACCTACAGATATAGAAGTGACAGGAAGTATAACGATACAGAGAGCAAAGTTGGATGCTTAGTAGCCCAAAGCACTTAATTGCTTGTGTTTTCTTAGAAGCTGAAGACCCACTTTTGGAAGCAATAGAAGAGGGTAGGATTTGAATTAATTAGGTCTGTGCAGGGACCTCATATGTGATTTAGCCTTGGCAACAGCAATCATGAACCTCCCGTCTACCAACTGTGATGCTCAGAAATGCTGCTTCCTTATCCAGAAGCCTGGTGGACACCTAGAACTCTTTCTAGGCTGGCCAAGCCAGTGAAAAGTTTATCTAATGGGCTGTTACTGGGTTTAAGCTAAGGACATGAGGCTGTTGGGAGTGCTGAGGTCTTGCCATCAGTCTGTTGGAGCAATAGCAGAAGGTGGGGAAACTATTTCAGCCCTAGGGCATTGTTAGCCCAAGGATAAATGGACTGACTGTGATGAACTTCGTGTTGGAAATTAATATTCCTCCTCATGTGAGCAAGGGAGTGCCTCAGTGGGAAGTTTCATGACAAGAATCCAAACTGTTTCTGAGATAGGTGCTTTTTAGAGGGGGAGCCTCAAAGTGGTCACTGCAGTAGCTGGGGCCCAGGCTCTGTAGTCCTAGGGTTCCTTTCTGGAGTTTCTAAGGGTGACTGCATGGATCTGGTGTGGAGTATGCTCTGTCTCACATGAGGCAGGAGCAGATGTATCCTCTCTCCTGTTCAGATCCCAGCTGCATCCCAGCCTTGCCTTCCAGTCCTGTATTTCTCTGCTCTTGACCTAGCAGAGAGAGAGCTGATAAAACTTCCTCAGCCACTCAAGAGCACTTCTTAGGCAGTCCAAGGGATTGTGGTTGTGCAGTTTGAGCTCTTTCTTTCAGCTCAACACCCACACACAAGTAAATGCAGTTTCTACAGAATTCCCCATCTCTCTCTTGCAGAGTGCAAGCACTCATCTCTGACTCGAACAGACTTTTGAATCTCTGGAGCAAAGTCTCCCTGCAAAAAAGTCTCCCTATAGATCAAAGTCAAAACTGCTTTTAAGTGAGTGTTCTTTCTGGATCTGCTCAGCTCCTTCCTGAAGAGCTGTTTAAGGGTGGTGAGCTGGCATGGCAGTCTCCAGTAAGAGAGGGGTACAAACCTATTTTAAGGTGTGTGAGCAGTCTAGAGAAGCAGTAATGACCCTGGTGCCTGAGACACCCAGGAACTGAACTGATAGCCCAGTGAGCTTCTTTGAGCACCAATTCCATTCTAGTTCAGCCTCCAGAACTTCCAGACCTCAGTGCACTTCTCAGTGCCCTAGGATGGTGTGAGGGCATTGTTCTGTGGCGCACAGGCTTGTCTGTATTGGGGTGTTCACTGGTACTGCAGCAGAGCCTTGCAGAAATCTCTTGCTGAATGACAGAGTCAGAACCATTCACTCCATGGGAAAGTGGTAGCCTAACCCATAAAAGTGTAACTGTCCAGTAAGACACTTTACAGTCTGAGAACTACATACAAGGTTTTCTCACATTCAGGTTTCCTTTTCTTTCCTCTCTATCATACAGACACTATATTAATGAGTGAGTTTCGTGGTTCTCTGTAATCAAGTGATGAACTGCTGTTTTCTGGAACTGGTAGAAAATGTGGTGAAAGCATCAGTCCAAAACACTCCCCTTTTTTTTTCTTTTTAAAAGTTAGTCCCTGCAGGAGTCAACAGTTTTTCTCCTGACTTCTCTCAGCAATGCTAAGCACTTCTGAAGGATGCATGAGGTGACTACTAGACAACTGTGCCATATTTCTAAGGCTCTCAGGGAGGATGAATCAAGAGACAAAGAGGGTCCATCTGGAACAGAGGGAGAATTTGTAAAGCTGAATTAGGGCAACTTTGGTTGGCTTTAGGCTCTGTCTTTGTCCCGCAGAGCAAAAATCCCCTCTGCAATACCCTGCCAAAGCCCTGTTCTCCCCTTCGGATACATCTCATCGTGTCATGACATCACTCTGCATGACTGATGAAACTGCAGTGTCGTTATGATGTGTGATGTCAATCTCTGACTAGGTATAGTTTAATCATTTGACTGTGATTCAATCCCCTGCCCCAATCTCTCCGTCTCCTGAGATCAGTTACCCTGATGACTTGTGCAAGTGGAAAGCTGTCAATGAAACAGATTACCATCTATGTGACTTTCTCGGGGTTGTCTCATTAGAAGTTCAAACCTAGCAAGGAATCATTCCCTGAGATGCATTTTTAATGTGGTATCTAATGTTTCCAGCTCCAATGAGGCTTAATCCAAAGCCTCGCAAAATCAGTGGAAAAGCTTCCATTGCTTAAGCCTATAGTGACAGAGTTTAAATTTGAAGGGCATGGTGACAACCTTATCCATCATATTTTTATATCTGCTTCTCTCTAAATACCTTGTTTTGAGATACAACTTTGAACTTGCCTGAAGTGGTCAAATGTACCAGTAGAAAAGCAGAAGCCATGCTGATTTCATCCACAGAGTGGATAAAAAGCAATACAGAGTCTAAATTCTGACTTCTCTGACCCCCTTGTTCCAGGAGAGCTGCCTCTGCAGTAATGTGGCTGGCTTTAAGGTTGCTCTGTGATTTACCATGATTTCTGTTATTTACTTTTCTGAATTATGTCGTTAAGCTGACAGAGGAATAAACAGTGAGCAGATGACTGCTCTCACAGATTCCACATACAGGCCACGCTTTCTGCTGCTGACAACTGTGTCGCTACAGACTGCTGGCATACTTGGGAAAGGTTGGAAATGCACTGCTGCATTTCTCTTTGCACCGATGCCCTTAGTGCCTTCGTAAGGGCCTTTTCTGTGGAGACTTTTTGATTCCTGTCTTGTCCAGGGCTTCTTCAGATTCCTACCTCTCATTGCTTTCAGTGGGGAAATAGTTCCCTAAATATTCTGAAAGTTTTGACTTCAGCAAAGTTGAATAATCATTGTCCTCCTTTTTTAGTCCTATACTGCTTTGCATCTTCATCATCAACTGAAACAAATGAGTCTTTTGGAGAGAGTGGGAGTATCTGCAGTGATGTCTCTTTAATGTCTCTTTCGTGGGTGTCTTTCATCACCTACATTAATGTGTCCTTGCTCATGTTTCCTTTTCTCGTTCACTCTTGCAGGGCTAGAATCTGGCCACATGCCTGGTGCTGTGAACATACCCTTCCACTCATTCCTCTCAGAAACCGGCCATGAGAAGAGTATTGAGGAGATCCAAGAAATATTCCGTCAGAAGAAAGTGGATCTCTCAAAGCCACTGACAGCCACGTGCCGCAAAGGCGTCACAGCGTGTCACATCGCCTTGGCAGCTTTCCTGTGTGGCAAGCGGGATGTGGCTGTGTACGATGGCTCCTGGTCAGAGTGGTTCCACCGTGCCCCACCACACTACAAGGTCTCTGAGGTGAAGCGCAGCAAGGGCTAAGAGAGAGGGCTGTGTCTTGGGCACTGAGATCTATCAGCTGTCTCCAGCCCAGGGTACAGCGAAAGGGAGGAGATGAAAGTAAAGAAAAAGGATAAATCAGCATATTTTGCCCATTTTTCTAGGGATGATCAGATTTCTATCAATCTTGGGTTTTCACAATTAATAAAATCTGCTTCTAAGATGTTGCATCTGTGAATATTTCTAATTCTTTGTTACCTGCGACCTGCTTGTGCTGAGTGGGAAAAGCAGAGGAGAGTTACACTCTGCCATGGAGACTTGCAGAAGTTCAGGTGAGAGCTCATGTCAGGAGCAGAAGTGAAAAGTCTGGGGCTAAAATATAACACTGGGTGCTGGACATGGGAGGGGCAAGCTGTGGTTTTGTCACTGACTCAATGTAAGACCTTGTGCCAGCCCATCAACTTCCCATTTGTAATGTGGAAAATCTGGCCTTCCATATGCTGACCAGACCCAACCCAGAGGTATGTGTGTTGCCTCCCTGGAGCCTGGGTAAGAAATATCATGAAGAAACTTTCCAGCCTGGTACAGGCCACTGTTACCCTCTACTGGTTTTCCAGGTAGCTAGCAACAAGGTCCCAACAAGAAGGCTACAAACAAGAGGGACCTCAGGGTCTTGGAACAACTGGTCGAGGAGTCTGGAGCAAAAGTTGTGTTCTCTTCTGTCCTGCCAGTTGCAGGGAATGATGGGGCATGAAAGAGGAAGATTGTTCAATGAATACCTGGCTCTGAAACTGGTGTTACCAGCAGGATTTGGGATTTTTTGATCATGAGTCACTTTATACAACACCAAGCCTGCTGACATCAAATGGGTTCCACCTGCCTCAAAGGGGGAAGAGGATCTTAATACAGGAATTTGCAGGGCTCATTGAGAGAGCTTCGTTTTGGAAGGGGGAAAGGGACAAAACGCAGGCTTACCAGTGATAAGTAATGGGATGGCACACCAAAACTTGAGGACCTGAGTGCTAGTGTGATCCCTTAATCTGCTTCACGAGGTGTTGGCTACAATGAGCCACATTTGAAATGCTTCTACCAATGCATGCAGCATGAGGAGCAAACAAGCAGCTTGAAGTTGTGGCCTAGTCCCAGCAACATGACATTGGCAGAAGTGAACCTGGTGGGATGAGTCCTGTGACTGGAGTGCCATACTGGATGGCTACAGGCCCTTCAGGAGGGATAGGCAGGGCAGGTGAGGTTGAATATGAGTCAGCACTGTGCTCTGGTGGCCAGGAAGGACAACTGTGTCCTGGGATGCATCAGGCACAGCATCACCAGTTGGTCAAGGGAAGTGATTGTCCTGTTCTCCTCTGCACTGGTCTGTCCTCACCTTGAGCACTGTGTGCAGTTTTGGGTGCCACAACATAAGAAAGATCTAAGCTATTAGGGAGCGTTCAAAGGAGAACTACAAAGATGATGAAGGGTCTAGAGGGGGAGCTGTATGAGGAGCAGCTGAGATCACTTGTCTTGTTCAGCCTGGAGAAGAGGAGACTGAGGGAAAACCTCATAGCAGTCTACAGCTTCCTTGTGTGGAGAAGTGGAGGGCCAGGCACTGATCTCTCTGGTGACCAGTGGCAGGACCCAAGGGAATGGCCTGAAGCTGTGTCAGGAGAGGTTTAGGTTAGATACTAGGATAAGGTTCTTCATCCAGAGGGTGAGTGAGCACTGGAACAGCTCCCCAGGGAAGTGGTCACGGCACCAAGCCTGACAGAGCTCAAGAAGCATTTGGACAATGCTCTCAGGCATGTGGTGTGTGTGATGGGAACTTCTGGGTACAGGTATTTCATGAGCCTTTTATTCTCATCCTTGTTCAGTATTTCAGTCAGCAAGGATAACCTTTATCTACATAATGTGAGTTCTGCTTGCCATGGAGATGGAGACCAAAGCTCATAAAGGGATGGAATGTTGTTCCCTAGCAACCATCTCTACTCTTCAGCCTTTGTCCCACCTCTATACCTTGCAGCAGGACCTGCCTGCTTGTACAAATCACTGTGACACTACACCAGGGACCATGGACCAGGTGAGAGCGGTAGTTGTGAAATAGGCTTTGTCTCTTGGTAAATCCTGTATATTTTCCTTTAAAAAGAAGAAATGAAAAATAAAATCTAGTGTAATTTTGACATCCATGGGGCTGCTCAGGTCTGGAAGGTCATTTCAGAAAGAAAGATCAAGTTTAATCATTTTTAGCTCTTTGATTGAGTTGTATCTTTTTCTGATTGGCTGTCTATTGTCCCTCACAGAATTGGCTTAGCAAAGGAATAAGTAGACATAAGTCTGTGATTTCTATTATCCAGAAGGATGGTAAAATGGCCTTGAAGTCCTTCTTGGCATCAAGATGTGGGAGTCTCTGAGTGGTGCTTTGACTTCGAACTTTGAGGGTCAGATGTAAAACAAACAATTAAGCAATGACAATAACATTTTATACAGTTACAAACTAGAAAGTGGGAACTGTTGCAGGCTTCAGTGTCGTTTTGTCCAGATAGAATTGGGGAAATGAGAGTTATTGATGAATGGGATTTGGGAAATGAGCACTTTGCCTCATTACACAAAAAATCTGCTTTGCTGGAAGAAATGGGAGAGGAGGAATTTCTACATCAGCAGACTGGAAAGTTCTTTCCACTGAATATAATAATAATAATGAACAGACATGTTTTCGTTTTGAGTAGGAGGTGGGAGTTAACACAGCAGTTTATTTAGCAGCACAGATTCCTGCACTTTGATCATGTGTATGGCTCTTCTTTAAAAAGAATCAAAAGCAATGGAGAAAATAAGCAGATCTTGCCATGTGAGCCAGGACTGGCTTCCTCTTTCCTTCCCCCGTGGCCCTGTTCTTTTTGTGGGAGAGATTCTGGATCTCAGTGCATTTGCAGAACATGCAGCACTGACTTCTAGAGTCTGATTGATTGATACAGTAACTTCAGCTTCAGGATCCCTGTGTTGTATAAGACATGCTGCTGCAAAGAACTGGCACAGTGTAAAACCCAAGCACTAGGCTTCCTACCCCATCGACTGGCATCTTCATTTCAATGACTGCCTCAAGTATGTCTTGTCTTGAGCTAATCTGACAAATCCAAACATGCATCCCTACCTGGGCCAGGTCTCTCTTGCATCCCCCCTTCATTTATAAGGTTCCTCTAGTCAGGCAGAGTCCCAACTCAGCAAGGTAAAACACCGTGGTACCAGAACCCAGTCCAAGGCCCAACACCATCACCCCTTTCTAATCTCCCACCTTCTTACCAGTCCTAGTTGTCCCATGCAATTAATGCCAACAAAAGCTGCTGGGGGAGGCTCAAGGACAGCGCCAGGTCCCAGGGATTAGTCATAGCTCAAAGAGCTGTGCAGGGGTGGAAATGCCAGGAGTTTGCTGCACTTTGGGAGTGCAGACAGTGGTTCTCTGATGTTCATGTTTTCAGGAACATCAAGCTCAGTGCAATGCAGCATTAACCATGGGACAGAAAAGACTCAGCGACTGTACTGAAATGCTGAAACACCCCTTGGAATGGACATCTCTCTCAGATTATGAGCAGCTGGGTTATAACTTGAGATCAAATATCTGCCAAGGTAAGGGAACACACATGCCTATGCCTGACCTTCAAACCTGGTTCTGTCTATGCTTGACAGGACTCAAGGCAGCCACATTGCTTGGGTGGAGATATGACTATGGGTAATACTCACTCTCCCCTCTTATTCCTTCTAAGCAGTCACTGCTTTTCCAGGCTGTTGTGCATGAGGCAATGGAAGATAGAGCCTCCCATTCTATGTATTCTCTTTCTTTTCTTTCACTCTTATTTTTTTCCCCAAGGTGTGAAAAGTGAACATGAATCATGACCCCTGTTCTCCATGTCCAGAGCTGTACAAATAGAAACCATTTGCAATTCAATGCCCGTCATTGCCAGTTGCTAGTTAGCTCCAGTTTAGATACCAACATTATTTCTCTTCAAGATCTTTAGACATGGGGCTCTGAAATATCTTGCCCAAACCTCTGTTTCCAAGGTTCCCTGGGATCCCTCCATCTAAACAAATACTGGACACTGGGAATTCATCCCATTTTCTTACCATCATATCCAAGAAACTCTGAAGTAATTGTCTCTGTTTCTCATGTACTGGCATAAGAAAAATTCTTTTTCCCTATACAGTATGTTCCATGACAAGACCTTCTGTGTGTTGAAGACTGCATTGTCCTGGGTTTGTGTAGTCACACAGAAAGGAAAGACATCTTTCCTCAGGGAGCTCAAAATCATTATTATCAAGAAAAAGGTGTGATAGGAAGGTGAAGAGGAAAGCATGAGAGATAAAGATAAAGCCCCCTCGTGGCTAAAAGTCAAGAGGGGATAAAAAGAGAAGTCAGTGGGGAACTATTTGTTAAGTATTGTGGCAGAAAAGGAGATCAAGAAGGCCTGGAGTGGTAAGATGGTGGGTTTTGTGGAGTGCTAAGTAGGAAGCTACTCATGTGAATGAAGAGATTCAACAGGAGATAAGTGGGCACTTGACTAAAGAAAGGTTCCTGGGATACAAATAAGAATGATACCTTACACACAGAGAGTGCTGTATCTCATGCTTGAGGATGAAAGGCAGATAAATTGGCAAACACAAGTTCCTTCCTGGATGATGGTGAAGCTATTGTTCAGCACCTAGTCACAGACCTGATCAAAGATACTGCAGTCAACACATGCCTTTTCTTGAGCCCTTGAAACTGCTGGTGTTTCTCCCCTGCACAATGCAGGGACTGCAGCAGGGTGATTTCTGCAAGCAGTCCCCTATTTGCTGTTCCTTGCAGGTGGTCCACTGAAGAGCCAAAGCTTAATGCGAGATTCCTACACCCCGCATGTAATTCAGACAGCAATCAGGGACGCGGATAATTGGCACGGACGGACAATTGATGAGCTAGGTATGGCTTCTTCCAGAAGAAGTTCAGTGCTGAACTCTTGAGATGGGTGCTGCTTCTGCCAAGGACAATGGATGGGCAGGGGGACTAGAAATTGCCGTTTCAACAAGAGAGGAGCTCT